ACACACACAGACCCACACAGACACACACAGACCCAAATGGATCCACTCAGATACACTCAGATCCACACAGACCCACTCAGACCCAAACAAACCCACACAGACCCACTCAGACACACACAGACCCACACAGACCCACTCAGACCCAAACAAACCCAAAAAGACCCACACAGACCCAAACACACCCACTCAGACCCACACAGACACACACAGACCCACACAGACCCACTCAGACCCACTCAGACCCAAACAAACCCAAAAAGACCCACACAGACCCAAACACACCCACTCAGACCCAAACAAACCCACACAGACCCGCACACACCCACACAGACGCACACACCTGTAGCAGTTGTTGTTGTACTTGTTGTAGCTGCCCAGAGCGGTCAGACAGCCCAGACATATGGCGTAGGAGAAGAAGATCTGGGTCCCGGCGTCCATCCACACCTCTCACAGGAAAACACGCACAAGCTGCTGTAACTGGCTCAACTCTTACAAGCACACACCCAAAACCTAAACTTTATTTAGACCGGCCACGGCACGCTTAGTCAGAAAATACAGAAATGTAAAAATAAACATATTCGAGAGGCTTTTGGGATCCTTAAGGAGTCGGGAATTGGCTGAAAAAGGCTTCAGATAGATTTAAAAACGTGTTTAGGATCTGAGATAGTTTTGGTTGTGATAACAAAAGGAGGCACGAGCTGAGTTTTAATCATTGACTCGTGCAGTGGGATGAAGGTTTGCTGATGTTCTTTGTCTCAGCATTTATTAACACCTCACGTTTCCAGAAAAATTCATAAGTCCGATCCCTATCTGGATGTGTACAACAGGGGTTTGAGCAAAGCTTTTACCACTGAATGATGCAAAAAGTCTCAGATCCAAAAGACTTCAGAAACCGGATCAGATATGACACATTTGGCATTATAGGGTTATTTAAGTCTGGTCCCACATTAGCATTAGCATTAGCATTAGCATCTGTAACCCACAGGTCTGTGTCCTAACCATTAAGTTGTTATCAGAGTAAATCTCTGTTCAACATGAGTCTGACAACTAAGTAAGTAGATAAATAACTTTAAACTTTAATACATGCTCTGATAGGCCGGGATCAGATCGGATCGGAAGTGTAAAAAGCTGGATCGGGACATCCCTAATTTGAAGGCACCCCAACAAAAAAGGCTCCATTTATGCCAGTTTTGGAGGGTTTTCCACCAGAGATGTGACTCTCTTTGTTCAATAGTGCATAAACACCTATCACAGCTTACATTTGAG